CGTAAAGCTGTAGATCTACGGCACAGACCCTGAAAGGGTTAATACGAAGCAATAGAAAGTGAAATATTGCACAGTGGACCCCCGCCATTCGGCAGCCGCGACTTTCGTGAAATCCCACTTTTGGCAACTTTTTTCGCGAAAATTTAGCTTCGCGGTTCGTGGTTGGTCTCATGATCCGGCGACCATCCAGTACGCGTTCGCTGTCAGCGCGTACACAAAGCCAGTCTCCCGCACCATTCACACTCAGTGTGCCAGTGTATACCAGCGAGTGACCATCACCCCACGGGTTCATACGATACATTTCATAATAATCCATTGTTTTTTGTGCGGGCAACTGCTAAATAAGCCACCATGGGCCCAAAGAAAGCTTCTAGTGCCAGCCCTTTGGTAGAGAAGGAAAGAAACACAATAGAATTCAAGAAAAAACTCATAGCAAAGTACCAAAGTGGAGGATACTAAAGCAGCAGTTATCAATAAAGGCTATAGTGCCAGCCAGCAATAAAACGTAGAATTAACAGTGTAGCAAGTAAGTTAAGCGATTAAGTGATGGAAAAACGACATGAAAGTAACTCTCCAACGTTGTTCGAGGTGTATAGGGCCAATGAATATACGCCGCCCTGCTATCTTCGACCACCCTAAACCTCTGCCAGAATCTCCTCCATCAAACTAACTAATTAAACTAACATCTCCTCCAAAGTAAGTGCAAATATTTCTTATTTATAAATTAAAATGTAAATATTTCTTATTTATAAATTGTAAATATTTCTTATACAGTGGACCCTCGACCAGCGATGGCATCGATTAACGATAAATCTGACTAGCGATACATTTTATCGCAAAAATTTTGCCTCGATTAGCTCTAAAAAACTCGACCAACACTATTCCTTCCGTCTGAGACGCATCCACTTCTGGCCAGTGTTTACAAGCCAGCCAGCCACCGCGGTCGCTTCCAAACATACAATCGGAACATTTCATATTATCACAGCCTTTTTAGTGATTGCACCTGCAAAATAAGTCACCATGGGCCCCAAGAAAGCTTCTAGTGCCAACCCTACAGCAAAAAGGGTGAGAATTACTATGGATATGAAGAAAGAGATCATTGCTAAGTATGAAAGTGGAGTGCATGTCTCCGAGCTGGCCAGGCTGTACACAAAACCCCAATCAACCATCGCTACTATTGTGGCCAAGAAAACGGCAATCAAGGAAGCTGTTCTTGCCAAAGGTGCAACTATGTTTTCGAAACTGAGATCGCAAGTGATAGAAGATGTTGAGAGACTGTTATTGGTATGGATAAACGAAAAACAGATAGCAGGAGGTAGCATCTCTCAAGCGATCATAGGTGAAAAGGCTAGGAAGTTGCATGACGATTTAATTAGAAAAATGCCAGCAACTAGTGGTGATGTGAGTGAATTTAAGGCCAGCAAAGGTTGGCTTGAGAGATTTAAGAATCATAGTGGTATACATAGTGTGATAAGGCATGGTGAGGCTGCCAGTTTGGACCAGAAAGCAGCTGAAAAATTTGTGCAGGAATTCAAGGAGTACATAGACAGTGAAGGACTGAAACCTGAACAAGTGTTTAATGGTGACACTGACAATGTTGTGAAACACGTTAGGAATGTCATAAAGGAACGGGAGGTACAGGCCTCTATGGGCAGATATGTTGTGCGACAGAGGTCCGGTGACTCTCAAGCTGGTCCTAGTGGCATTAAAAGAAGGGAAGTAACCCCGAAAAAGGACTTGCCACCTCAAGTCCTAATGGAAGGGGATTTCCCTTCTAAACACTAAGACCATCAACACAATCCCCTCTTCCCATCCCATCAATCATCACCAGATCTTCAATAAAGGTAAGTGTCATGTAACTGTGCATGTCTTCTTCAGTTTGTGTGTATTAAAATTAATATTTCATGTGTTAAAAAATTTTTTTTTCAATACTTTTGGGTGTCTTGCACGGATTATTTTGATTTCCATTATTTCTTATGGGGAAAATTAACTTGACTAACGATTATTTTGACTAACGATGAGCTCTCAGGAACGGATTAATAGCGTTAGTCGAGGGTCCACTGTATATAAATTACATACATTGTTTAACAGTACTTCCCATTTCCAGGAAGTACAATGCCTGCACTTTAAAGGAGGGGTTTGGGATATTGGCAGTTTGGAGGGATATGTTGTGTATCTCTATACGTATATGCTTCTAAACTGTTGTATTCTGAGCACCTCTGCAAAAGCAGTGATAATGTGCGAGTGTGGTGAAAGTGTTGAATGATGATGAAAGTATTTTCTTTTTGGGGATTTTCTTTCTTTTTTGGGTCACCCTGCCTCGGTGGGAGACGGCCGACTTGTTGAAAAAAAAAAAAAAAAAAAAACATTGTTTAAGTGTGAATAGTGTTGGTGGCTTCTGCTGCTGCTGCCTCCACTACCACTAGTGTGTATGGCTTCTCTCAGTGGGCCTTATAAACCCAACAACAACACTTCCACCACTTACTCCTCGCATACATTATTCTAGAATATATATATCATGGTTTGTGTGTTATTAATCTTGTTTATTATGTCATATTACATAAATTTGATAGATAAATAAGCTATAGAGATATTAGTGTCATATTGAAGCATAATAAACTCTCCTCCCTCTCGCCTCCTACTTGTCTTCCATACACTAACAAGAATCAATAAAAGTAAGTTAGATGTTAAATGTTCATTTATCCATTTTATTAGTGCTTTATATTTATTTGTCATTGCTTTCTGTATGTAAATCTATATTTAATCTTTAAAAAAATTTTGTTAACCCTTTGACTGTTTCGGTCACATACGTATATACGTCTTACGAGCCACCGCGTTTGACGTATATGTACTCAAAAATTCTAGCGGCTTCAAATCAAGCAGGAAAAAGCTGGTAGGTCCACATGTGAAAGAATGGGTCTGTGTGGTCAGTGTGCACTATGTGAAAAAAATCCTGCAGCATGCAGTGCATAATGAGAAAAAAAAACTCCGACCGTGTTTTTGGATTAAAACACCGACTTTGTGGTGTATTTTCATATAGTATTTATGGTTATATTCTCGTTTTCTTGGTCTCATTCTATAGAATGGAAAACATAGAAATAGAGGTGATTTTGATTGGTTTTACAATGAAATGGAGCTCAAAGTAGGGGAAATGTTTGATTTTTGCCAATGTTCAAAAGTAAACAAACGTCTTTGTCCAATAAATGTCCAACTGGGCATTCTAATATGCAGTCATGAATGGGTTGATATTATTTATACAATTATTACAATAATGTAGTAGTCTGCATAACAGTATATCTGCTATTTTTTGTTTGAATAAAAATTCAAAATAGAAAGCAAGAGTAATATCAGAGGGGCCTGGAGACATGACTGATGAACAAAGAAATGTTATTTTAGTGCCAGGAATGTCTGCATTGTTCATTCTGGACCCTATTTTGAAATTATATTTTTTAATTTGCGTGAAATTGGCCAAATTGCAAAGTTCTGATCACGTTATTGGGTAGTTGAAATCGGTAAATGGGCAGTTTCTTGTACTCAATCAATAGAACAAATGGAGTTCTAAAGAAATAGGTATGAGTTTGGTCGACTGGAGCAATGGAATTAGCCAAAAATAGGGCTCAAAGTGGGCGAAATCGCCGATTCGTAAATATCACCGAGGTCGCTAAGTTCGCGTGAGCGTAATTCTGTAAGTTTTCCATCATATTTCGTTCTTTTGGTGTCATTACCATCAGTAAAAGATTATCATTTCATAAGATTTTTTTCTTTCTAAAATTTTTCGACACCAGGAGACACCTCAGGATTTGGGGTTGCAACAGTCAAAGGGTTAATACTTTTGGGTGTCTGAAATGGATTGATTGGATTTCCATTATTTCTTATGTGGAAAATGGATTTGCCAATCGTGAATTTCACCATTCGACAGACTCTCTGGAACAGATTAATCACGAAACTCGGGGATCCACTGTAATCTCGTAAATACAGGAAGGCCCCACTTATACAGCAGGTTAGGTTCTGGGCTACCGCTGTAAAGCAGATGTCACTGTAAACTGATTCATAGGCTTTTTCACTTTCAAATACATTAAAAGCCTGATAACATGTTTACACTATCATATATTAAGTGAACAATATAGCTAGGCCTAAAAAATGCACATACAGTACACGCATTGCTTACCTTAAGATATTTTCGTCCTTAGCTTATAGTGAGTGACGAACATATTTATTGTAGGAAGTCTGAATAAATGAAGAATAGATATACGTTTAATTGAAAACTGCTGTATTAGCAAAACACTGTAAAGCGAAGCGCTGTAAAATAGGGCCTGCCTGTATTGTGTAGATTTAGTACAGTAATTACCACGAGGTGTTAACTAACTGTGGCGGTTGTAACTTGCACGACTCTTACCTCTGATGAATAATATTTTCATATCCCTCACAAGATCAGTAAGACTTCTGCCAGAAATGATTTTTCTTGATTCTGCCCAATTGCTTAGTAGTTTACTTTCATTCAGAACTGGCTAGAATTTAATAATATTCGATCTTACAGTTTGTATTTCATAGCATCATGATTTCACTTAGCACCTGTTGTTTTGTTGCATGCTGAGGAATGTGGGCAGTTCCCAGAAAATAAAAGATGTTATGAGTATAGCTAGGTAAAAAAAATTTAGTGTAAATAGCAGCAGACTTGAGTTCTGGAAGTGGGAAGGGCAGTGCCTCACTCTGAAGGAATGGTTAGGATGTTGCAGTTGGAGGGTATCTGAATGATCTCAGCACACTTTTGGGTCACCTTCCCTTGGTAGGAGATACATAAATAACCCACAGTAGGAGAGAGAAGCTTGTGACTTGCAAATGGTCCAAGTTGGACCGAAATGTTGTCATAAGCTTCACCCTCCTGTGTGAGGATTACTTTTGTATTGTCCCAGTTGTGGTATTGTGCCTTTTTGTTCTTGGTAGGAGATGGCTGTTGAGTTAAAAATCTGTAATATAATAAGCATTTTTTTGTATTGTAGGTGCAGGCAGCCGTGATAACCAACCTTGCCACAGCTTTGGAACAGCCCGAACTCTACCGTGGCCAGTACCCAGACCGACAGCTATGCCAGATCCTCTTGAAAGAATTGGGTCAGAAATCTGCTGTGGAGGAACTTGCCTATGAGCTGATCAAGCATCTAGATGAACAAGGCACAACTCCTCCTCCATTATTTGATCAGCTTATTGATGATGTGACCAAACAACTAGACCAGAGCTCCCTCATGGCAGTAGATTACCATTTGGTGGATATAATAGAATTCTATGCTTCATCACCTTACCTAGCAAACATCCTTGTCAGGACCCCTGAAAGTAAGCAAAATGAGCTACACGTGCTGATAAACGTTCAGGTATGATAATACCGACAAACTGTGAAATAGATACACAGATGCAACAATTATGACATTTAATTAGATGTTTCAACCACTAGGGGCTTCTTTTATTGTGTTGAAAAACCTCCATTGGTCAGAACATCTCTCGATTAAATTTCATAAGTGTTGCATAGGTATCATATTCTACATGTGCTGAGAATATTCAAGGAATAATTTGTCTCGTAACTGCTGTGCATTGATAATTATATAGATATGAATTTTTTCGTGCAGTTTCGTAGAAAAATTTAACATGACACACTTTCTGTATTAACTTGCCTGAATAACTTGTATTCTACTGGGTTGTCAACAGGCATAATTCAGTGTTATTATAGTTTATATACAGTAAGGTATACACTAAACAGTAGCTTGCTCCAAGATCTTGTTAAAGAAATTAAAATTTATTCTGTCACTGAAGTATCCCGTCAGAAAGCACCAGTGTTTACCAACATGCAAAACTTTTTTTTTTTAATGTCGGCTGTCTCCCACAGAGGTAAGGTGATCACCTAGAAAAGTAAACACATCACCATTATTCATTCAATAGCTGTCTTGCCAGAAGTGCACAGAGATGACAGTTCAAATTACCCTCCAAACTGTGACATCCCCACACCTTCTTCAGAGTGTAGGTACAGTAGGACTGCTATATCTGCAAGTCTGATTTCCATGGTTTCAGTTGTCCACAGTTAACCCTGGCCCAAAAATAACCCTTAATTTTACTTAATAATGACTCCAAAGTAAAAAAAACTAGTGATAGTGACAGTTCTTCAAAACCAAAGAGAAGTTGTGAAGTGCTTCCCATCAGTGAAAAAGTGCTAATTCTTGACTTATTGTGCATAATTTATCAAACTTTATCATAGGTATGTATGTAAATGAAAATTTATTTAAATACATGTATAGGGTTTGCTACTATCCACAGTTTCGGGTATCTGCGGTAGGTCTTGGTACGTGTCCCCCACAGATACGGGGGTCCTACTGTACTCTGCTTCCCACCTGCAGGACACTCTAGTATTGTTTCCCTGAATCTCTTCATACATGTTACCATGCTCACACTATTAACAGCCCATCAAACCACTTCATACATGTTACCATGCTCACACTATTAACAGCCCATCAAACCATAACAACCACTTGTGTCTGCTCCAATCTAACATGCTCACACAAGACTGGATGCTCAAGCCCATGACACTTGACCTTTTCCTTCTCCCTTCAACCCTTCCTGGGGACAACTGCTTCCTTCTGCCTCCGATTTATACATCCTCTTGGTCATTGTATTCTGTTCCATCCTCTCTAAATGCCAATATCACCTAACAACCCCTTCCCCCAGACCTCTGAATTATAACTGGTAACCTCACACCATCTAATTTCTATGTTCTGAATTCTCTGCATAATGTTCACACCACACATTACCCTCAATCATGGCACTTCTGCTGTCTTCAACCTTCTCTTAGTGCAATATTTAAAGCCCATACCTCGTACCCATTTAACAGAGTTGTACCATTATGCTCTTGTACAGTCCTCGTTTTGCCTCTGTGGTTAAAGTTTTGTTTCCACAGGTGCCTCATTGCACCACCCATCTTTTTTTTTTCTTCGCCTCATCTATTCTATGGTTCCTTATGTATGTCTTGCAGTAGTTTAACATGCCAGTTTGGTAATTTTTAAGCTGCTTGATAATTCACTGTGAAAAAATCTTTATGTAAGCTGAATAGTCATTTTTTTTTTCTTTTTTCTCCCAACAAGTTGGCCATCTCCCACCGAGGCAGGGTGACCCAAAAAATTAAAAAATACTTTCATCATCATTCAACACTTTCACCACACTCACACATTATCACTGTTTTTGCAGAGGTGCTCAGAATACAACAGTTTAGAAGCATACACATATAAAGATACACAACATATCCCTCCAAACTACCAATATCCCAAACCCCTCCTTTAAAGTGCAGGCATTGTACTTCCCATTTCCAGAACTCAAGTCCGACTATATGAAAATAACCGGTTTCCCTGAATCCCTTCACTAAATATTACCCTGCTCACACTCCAACAGATCGTCAGGTCCCAAGTACCATTCGTCTCCATTCACTCCTATCTAACATGCTCATGCATGCTTGCTGGAAGTCCAAGCCCCTTGCCCACAAAACCTCCTTTACCCCCTCTCTCCAACCCTTTCGAGGACGACCCCTACCCCACCTTCCTTCCCCTATAGATTTATATGCTTTCCATGTCATTCTACTTTGATCCATTCTCTCTAAATGACCAAACCACCTCAACAACCCCTCTTCAGCCCTCTGACTAATACTTTTATTAACTCCACACCTTTTCCTAATTTCCACACTCCGAATTTTCTGCATAATATTTACACCACACATTGCCCTTAAACAGGACATCTCCACTGCCTCCAACCGTCTTCTCGCTGCTGCATTTACCACCCAAGCTTCACACCCATATAAGAGTGTTGGTACTACTATACTTTCATACATTCCCTTCTTCGCCTCCATAGATAACGTTTTTTGACTCCACATATACCTCAACGCACCACTCACCTTTTTTCCCTCATCAATTCTATGATTAACCTCATCCTTCATAAATCCATCCGCCGACACGTCAACTCCCAAGTATCTGAAAACATTCACTTCTTCCATACTCCTCCTCCCCAATTTGATATCCAATTTTTCTTTATCTAAATCATTTGATACCCTCATCACCTTACTCTTCTCTATGTTCACTTTCAACTTTCTACCTTTACACACATTCCCAAACTCATCCACTAACCTTTGCAATTTTTCTTTAGAATCTCCCATAAGCACAGTATCATCAGCAAAAAGTAACTGTGTCAATTCCCATTTTGAATTTGATTCCCCAAAATTTAATCCCACCCCTCTCCCGAACACCCTAGCATTTACTTCCTTTACAACCCCATCTGTAAATATATTAAACAACCATGGTGACATTACACATCCCTGTCTAAGACCTACTTTTACCGGGAAGTAGTCTCCCTCTCTTCTACACACCCTAACCTGAGCCTCACTATCCTCATAAAAACTCTTTACAGCATTTAATAACTTACCACCTATTCCATATACTTGCAACATCTGCCACATTGCTCCTCTATCCACTCTATCATATGCCTTTTCTAAATCCATAAATGCAATAAAAACTTCCCTACCTTTATCTAAATACTGTTCACATATATGCTTCAATGTAAACACTTGATCTACACATCCCCTACCCACTCTGAAACCTCCTTGCTCCTCTGCAATCCTACATTCTGTCTTACCTCTAATTCTTTCAATTATAACCCTACCGTACACTTTTCCTGGTATACTCAGTAAACTTATTCCTCTATAATTTTTACAGTCTCTTTTGTCCCCTTTCCCTTTATATAAAGGGACTATACATGCTCTCCGCCAATCCCTAGGTACCTTCCTTTCTTTCATACATTTATTAAACAAAAGTACCAACCACTCCAACACTATATCCCCCCCTGCTTTTAACATTTCTGTCATGATCCCATCAGTTCCAGCTGCTTTACCCCCTTTCATTCTACGTAATGCCTCACGTACCTCCCCCACACTTACATTCTGCTCTCCTTCACTCCTAAAAGATGGTATACCTCCCTGACCAGTGCATGAAATTACTGCCTCTGTTTCTTCCTTAACATTTAAAGGTTCCTCAAAATATTCTCGCCATCTACCTAATACCTCCATCTCCCCATCTACTAACTCCCCTACTCTGTTTTTAACTGACAAATCCATACTTTCCCTAGGCTTTCTTAACTTGTTTAACTCACTCCAAAATTTTTTCTTATTTTCATTAAAATTTCTTGACAGTGCCTCTCCCACTCTATCATCTGCTCTCCTTTTGCACACTCTCACCACTCTCTTCACCTTTCTTTTACTCTCCATATACTACTCTGCTCTTCTTATAACACTTCTGCTTTGTAAAAAACCTCTCATAAGCTACCTTTTTCTCTTTTATCACACCCTTTACTTCATCATTCCACCAATCACTCCTCTTTCCTCCTGCCCCCACCCTCCTATAACCACAAACTTCTGCCCCACATTCTAATACTGCATTTTTAAAACTATTCCAACCCTCTTCAACCCTCCCCCATTACTCATCTTTGCACTAGCCCACCTTTCTGCCAATAGTCGCTTATATCTCACCCGAACTTCCTCCTCCCTTAGTTTATACACTTTCACCTCCCTCTTACTTGTTGTTGCCACCTTCCTCTTCCCATCTGCCTCTTACTCTAACTGTAGCTACAACTAAATAATGATCCGATATATCAGTTGCCCCTCTATAAACATGTACATCCTGGAGCCTACCCATCAACCTTTTATCCACCAATACATAATCTAACAAACTACTTTCATTACGTGCTACATCATACCTTGTATATTTATTTATCCTCTTTTTCATAAAATATGTATTACTTATTACCAAATCTTTCTATACATAGCTCAATTAAAGGCTCCCCATTTACATTTACCCCTGGCACCCCAAAATTCATGCATCAAAGAAAATAGTTTCTTGTTTTCTCAGAGGTGAATCAGGACAGGACTGGCAGAGCTTATCAGAACACGCCGCTGGGCAGTTTGCTCAGTATATCATGTCTTACGAAGCATCTAGGCGCTTCATATGAGTTCTTCGAGAAGCCATCATCACAGCCTGGCCAGGTCCACAAGGACACAGAGAACACTATATGGCGAGCACAGAATAATATAAATGTCAGGGTTTACAAAATTTTCTACATGTTACTGAAGGTTTGTCAGATTTACATCTTGTTAAATTACCCATCAATATTAGTATGGGAAAATGAAGTGTGATTTCTCTGCTCCTTTATTACTTCTCTTGTTGCTCTCTTTATTTCTGCCCATTTGCTTTTAACTTCTACTACATTCTCACTTGTCATAATTTCTTAGGTAATTTTTTGCCCTTTTCCAAATTCTTATTGCTACATATAAGCAGTCATTAATAGCTTTCCATAAGGGAAAGCCAAATTAGCATACATGAGGTGTTCATAGAAGTGACAAAACATCAGAGATTTTTTTAGAAAGATGGATAGAATTTACTAAATTTCAGGTATCAGCAGAGGCCAAGGCTGGACTGTTGACATGGGTAGAATCATGCCTTGCAGCAAACAGCGGGCGTGCTGGTTTGTGGCATGTTCAGGGAGGATTGCAAGGTGTCACTTATGTTTCTGATGGCTTTATGATTAACCTTGGTGCAGTAATGCTGCAGTTGGCACAACCATTTACTCAAGATCTTAAAACTGCCAAAATACTTAAGGTAAATATAAATTTATTGTTAAATAATATAATTTAAAATTTTGAATTAAGACTGCCTGTACTCTGAAGTATGGGTGGGGGTGTTCCAGCTCGGGGAGCTGCTTGAACTCGTGTTGTACTTCTTCCAAGAAAGTGATTGGATGAATGTTGGTGAAAGTATTTTCATTTTTTGGAGGGGAATGGGTCACCCTACCTTCATGGAAGATGACTGGTGTGTTCAAAAGATTTATATATAAGAATTAAGATTGATGTGATTGGCAGAATTGCAGTAAAAAGTTGTATTTTTTTTAAAAATCTTAGGGGTTTGGCATGTTCCATAATATAATAACAGTTTGCATCAGTTCATTATGCAGTGTTTTGAGCCAATTTAAAACTAATAATTAAAGTTATACAGTGGACCCCCGCTTAATGATCAGCCTGATAAGAAGGGCAAAAAAATTGTATTATGAGAACAGATTATCCAACTTACGAGGTGATATAAAAAAGACCTGGAAAACCCTATCAGAAATTCTAGGAACAAAAAAGATATCACGAAATAGCGAAATAAAATTAGCAAAATCAGATGAACCCCAACTCCCACCAACAGAAACAGCAAACAGACTCAATGACTTCTTCTCCACTATAGGACAAAACCTTGCCAATAAAATCCCAAGCTCAGATACCCCACCAAATGACTACCTCACTGGCAACTACCCGAACACACTGTTCTAGCTCCGACTAACCCATACGAAGTCTCCCTTATTATCAACACGCTAAAAAACAAGGCAGGAGATTTAAATACCTTACCACCCTTTATATACAAAAAAGTGTCACAAGTGCTATCACCAATCATTGCAACACTCTTTAACAAATCCATTGAATCCTCCACCTTCCCTACAGTACTCAAAATAGCAAGGGTCACCCCGATCCACAAAGGAGGAGACCAAACAGAGTTGAATAACTATAGGCCAATATCCAACTTACACCCTCTCTCAAAAATCTTCGAAAAATTAATTCATAAACGAATCTACTCCTACCTTATCTCCCAAAACATACTCAACCCCTGCCAATTTGGATTCAGGCCAAATAAAAATACTAGTGATGCTATTATACACATGCTAGAACATATATACACTGCAATAGAGAAAAAAGAAGTCCCACTGGGGATCTTCATTGACTTACGTAAAGCTTTTGATACAGTTAACCATGACTTGCTCCACGTAAAATTGTCACACTATGGTATAAGAGGGCACTCCCGCAACTACCTCAAGTCATACCTCAGCAACAGAAGCCAATATGTGTATGCAAATGGGGCAAACTCTTCTGCACAACCAATTACAGTTGGTGTCCCTCTTCTCTTTCTCCTATAGATAAATGACCTACCAAATGCTTCGCAATTACTCAAACCCACACTATTTGCAGATGACACTACATACGTCTTCTCCCACCCGAGCCCAGTCACGCTAGCCAATACTGTAAATACCGAATTACAGAAAATATCTACCTGGATGAGGACTAACAAACTTACACTAAACATTGACAAAACCTACTTCATTCAGTTTGGTAACAGAGCTACAGATGTCCCTCTTAACATAATGATAAACGGATCACCTATCACAAAGCTAACAGAGGGAAAATTCTTAGGAATCCACCTTGATAATAGACTCAAATTTCATACACATATACAACAAATTTCTAAGAAAATTTCCAAGACTGTAGGCATACTATCGAAGATACGGTACTATGCTCCACAGTCAGCCCTCCTGGCCCTATATCACTCTCTTATTTACCCCTATCTCACCTATGGAATTTGTGCATGGGGCTCAACAACAAGTAACCATCTCAGACCACTAATTACCCAACAAAAGGCTGCAGTTAGAATGATAACAAATTCTCACTATAGGCAGCACACTCCACCAATATTCAATACACTAAACCTACTCACCATACAAAACATTCATACTTATTACTGCACCTATTACATACATAGAACACTTAACTCTGATATTAACCCTCCCCTCAAACATCTCCTTGCCAACCTCAACAGAACTCATGACCATAACACAAGGCACAGATCACTCCTTGATGTTCCTCGTGTCCATCTCACACTATGCAAAAACTCAATGCACATAAAAGGCCCTAAAATCTGGAACTCATTACCTGTAAATATAAAAGAAACACTACCTGTTTATAAATTCAAGTCTCTTCTCAAAGATCACTTACTCACCCAAAACCAAATAAATACTGAATAACTGAACCTTATAAATTGTATATCTTAAATGTTTCTCACAATTATATCACATAAATGTTAAACCTAAAACCCAATCTAACTTTATTATTTTTTAAATACACTACCTAACAGAATACTCCATTCTACTGAATGTACAACAATGCATACAACCATATGACCTGTCTTTGTAATACTCACTTGTGCTTTATAGTAATCTGTTTACATTAAAGTTTTATCACTGATGTCATCATTGCTTAGTTCATCTTAAGTTAATTTTAAGCCAGCCCGTAATGCTATGCATAGTGTAAGTGGCTTTGGCATGCTGCTCTTATCTGTATTTTTTGTACCTCTGTATGTGTGCTCAAATTTTTAAATAAATAAATAAATAAATAAAATGCGACCAATTATGTGAGTGTATTTATGTAAGTGCGTTTGTACATGTATGTTTGGGGGTCTGAAATTGACTAATTTAATTCTCAATATTCCTTATGGGAACAAATTCGTTCAGTACTGGCACCTGAACATACTTCTGGAATGAAATAATATCGTAAACCGGGGGTCCACTGTATTAAGAGACTTAGGTAATGGTATGCATTTATAAGTTAGTTTGGTTGGTAGATAAGAAATAAAATAGAATTAGTTGGGATAATTTTGTTTTAAATCATTGACCCTTTTCCATGAAGGCATGATATTGATGAAAGACATTTCCATCATTGTTTGCTCGATAGCTCTTTTAGCAAAAAGATTGTGACCTCCCCTTTCTCCTCTGTTTAAAAACTGCAGGCACTGTTCTTACCCCCTCCAAAACTCAGTCTGATCTGATCCCTTCTAGAAAGGCAGCTAAGACATTAGTGATGGTAAATTTATTTTTTCTTTTTGAATTGCATTAGTGGGCAACCTGTGATATATTAAACAAGTCTCTTACAATCCATAACATAATTCCGCTGGGAAAATTATTTTTTAAGCGATGCTCTAACTGATTATTGCAGGTTGATCCTACGTATTGTGCAGCTCCACGAATGAGTAACAATAATGGAGTGCCAGGAGCGTACACAGGAGACCTTGGGAAACAGACCACACTTGTCCCGCATCCAGAGAACTCGACTCGCTCGCACTCCAAGGAATATTCCTTCATCAGTGCCTGCTTTTTCTTGACACACAGAGCACTGCACCTTGGGATACAGGTCAGTCACATATAATATAAGAAAAAATTGAATGCCAATGCCTTTACAGGTGTCTTGATCCATAAACCATACCACGGTCATTACGATTTTGTGAGTCGTCTTGATCCATAATCTTCATCTTCAAAAAATGTCATTTGATATACAGAAACTTGATATTTTTGCTCTAAATTAAACTGTTATCTAAATTAGTTGAAACAGTTGTTGAAAGTATTTTATCAGTCTTGTTTCATCACTCATTGTATTCTGTTTCATTAATTGATTTGAAAAATGTGAATTGTACATCACTGTATTGAGGATTTAACCCTTTGATTTAACCCCATGCCATAGTTCATGCTGTGGTACTACATCATGAGCTTAGCTCACTCAGATAAGCTGTGAGCAGTAAATTTAGGCCTAAATATGAGAGAATGCAGCTGTGGTAAGTGTGCACCATATGAAACAAATCCTGCAGCATGCAGTGCATAATGAGAAAAAACTGACCATGTTTCTGGATTAAAACAGTGACTTTGTGGTGTATTTTCATATGGTTTTTATGGTTGTATTTGCAGTTTCTTGGTCTCATTTGATAGAAGATGTATTACAGGAATAAAGATGATTTTAATTGGTTTTTGATTGGTTTTTGCCAATGTTCAAGAGTAAACAAATGACATCACGCATCCAATACACGTCAGCTGGTGGGTGTAATGTGCATTCACAAATGTGCTGATATTATTTATACAATTATTACAATATTGCATAATAAATCTTCTATTTTTTTGGTGTGAATAAAAATTTTGTGAATAAAAAATCAAAATGGAATTTGTGTCAAGCCTGGAAATGTAACTAATAAACATAGGAAATGTTATTTTAGTGCCAGGAATGCCTGCCTTGTTTATTCTGGACCCTATTTTGAAATTGAAATACAGTGGAACCTCAGTTTTTGTCTTTAATTTGTTCCAGAGTCTCTGACAAAAACTAAAGCAATATTTCCCAAAAGAAATAATGTAAATCCAATTTATCCATTCCAGACACCCAAAAATTATTAACAAAAAATACATTTTATAGAGAATAACTATAGTTTTACATAGAGAAAACAATGAGAAATAAATATAAAGCACTAATGAAATGGATAAATGAACATTTAAATCACTTTTACCTTTATTGAAGACTCTTGTTGGTGTATGGAAGATGGCGAGGACGGGAGAGGTTATCTCTACCACCCTCCACTACCATCTACCACCATCACTGCCACCCTCCACCACCATCACTACAACCCTCTACCACCATCACTGCCACCCTCTACCACCATCACTATCACTACCCCACACTACCACAATCACTACCATCCTCTACCACCATCACTACCACCCTGTACCACAATCACTACCACCATCACAACCACTACCACAATCACTACCACCATCACAACCACTACCACCATCACTACCACTACCACCATCACTACCACTACCACCATCACTACCACTACCACCATCACTACCACCACCACTACCACCATCACTACCACCATCACAACCACTACCACCATTACTACCACCCTTTACCACCATCACTACCACCCTTTACCACCATCACTACCACCCTTTACCACCATCACTACTACCCTCTACCACCATCACTACTACCCTCTACCACCATCACTACTACCCTCTACCACCATCACTACTACCCTCTACCACCATCACTACTACCCTCTACCACCATCACTACTACCCTCTACCACCATCACTACTACCCTCTACCACCATCACTACTACCCTCTACCACCATCACTACTAGCCTCTACCACCATCACTACCACCCTCTACCACCATTGAATTCTATTGTGTTTCTCGCCTTCTTTATCAAAGGACTGGCACTCGGAACTTTCTTTTTCCCCATGGTGGCTTATTTAGCAGTCACGCTCAATAAACAAGCGCAAAAAAACAATGGATTATTACGAAATGTTTTGTATGAATGCGCAGGGTAATGTTCACTCAATGAGAAACAAAGCCAGACTGACTCAGAATGTGTGCATGGGATCCTTCATGTGGGTGTGGGCAGACGGACACGTTTGGTACGGCGAATGAAAACCAAAGTGATGAATGAAAACTGGGACAATATTTTGACAAAAAAAAAAGTCATCAAAAACCGAATTTGACAAAAAGTAAGGCAAACGAAAACCAAGGTTTCACCGTAGTTCGAACTTTGTGTGAAATTGGCCAAATTACCAATTTCCAATCACTTTATTGGGTAGTTAACCCTTTCAGGGTTCGTCCCTTAGATCTACGGCTTTACGGTGAGTGTCCAAACCGTAGATCTACGCCATGAGCTCAGCTCACTCTGATAAACTGTGAGTGGTACATTTGGGCCTAGATATGAGAGAATACATGTATGTGGTATGTGTGCACCACATAAAACAGATCCTGCAGCACACTGTGTATAATGAGAGAAAAAAACTGAAATCATGATTTTTCGATTAAAACAGCGACTTTGCAGTGTTTTTTCGTATGTTTTTTATAGTTGTATTTGCGATTTCTTGGTCTCATTTGATAGAATAGAAGACATATTACAGAAATAGAGATGATTTTGATTGGTTTTAGCACTGGAAATGGCTTGAAACTGAGCTCAAAGTAGCGGAAATGTTAAATTTTTGCCGATATTCAAGAGTAAACAAACGACCTCACACATCTACACGTCAGCTGGTGGGTCTAATATACATTCACAAATATGGTGATGATATTTATACAATTATTACAGTATTGCATAACAGTAAATCTTCTATTTTTTGGTGTGAATAAAAATTCATTATGTGAATAAAAAATCAAAATAGAATTTATTTGTAAAGCCTCAAAATGTAACTAATGAACAGAGGAAATGTTAGTTTAGTTCCAGGAATACCTACATTGTTTATTCTGGAGCCTATTTTGAAATTGGAATATTTTGAACTTTGTGTTAAATTGGCCAAATTAACAATTTCCGATCACTTTAGTTTGTAGTTGAAACAGTTGATTTGGCGATTTCTTGTGCTCAGTCGATAGAATAGAAGTAATACTAGTGAAATAGCTAAGAATTTGGTTGATTGGAATAATGTAATTGGCCTAAAATGGGAGTCAAAGTCGGCAAAATCGCCGACTCGTAAATATCGCTGACACATCAAAATTCGCGAGAGCATAATTTCGTCAATTTTCCACCAAATTTCGTACTTTTTGTTTTATTACCTTCACAAAAAGATTCTCTACGATTTCATAAGAAAAAATAACAAATTTTTTTTTTGAAAATTCTTGGACACTGGTGCGTGACTTCAGATTTTGGCCTTGGACCCTGAAAGGGTTAAAATAGTTGATTGGGTAATTTCTTGTGCTGAGTAGATAAAATGGAACACATACTAGTGAAATATCTAAGGATTTAGTCTAATGAAACAATGTAATTGGCCTAAAATAGGACTCAAAGTGAACAAAATCGCCAATGCATAAATATCGCTGACACAGCAATATTCGCAAGAGTGTAATTTTGCCAATTTTTGATCAAATTTCATAATTTTTTTTATTACCTTCAGAAAAAGGTTATCTACCATTTCATAAGAAAATATAATAAAAACTATTTTTTGCATTTTCTTAGACCCTGTAGGAAATTTTCAGATGGGGGTCTGGACCCTCAGAGGGTTAATGATTTTAGTCTTCTTTTTTTACTGGTTGTCTTGGGAGATAGCTATTTGTAATAGTTTTTACCACTTAATATCTTGCATTACTGGAGAAAGCACAAATTAGGAAAGGTAGAAGAAATTAAATGAGCAGAGATAACAAATAGGAGTAAGGGGCTAGTAACCCCTTCTCCTGTATATATTACTAAATGTAAAAGGAGAAACTTTCGTTTTTCCTTTTGGGCCACCCCGCCTCGGTGGGATACGGCAGGTGTGTTGAAAGAAAGAAAGAAAAAGATAAATACAGTATATTAACAGTTGCCACAGCCAGAGTAGTACAAACAGCACTTTGCCGACCAAATCACCTTAGTCCACCAACTACACCACACACTGTAGTTGGTGGACTAAGTTGATTTAGAGTTAGAGGAATGCTTAATGAAGTGGTGTTTTTATGAAAAGCAGATCTTGTCTTAAGTTTGAGCTTAATGCACAAGAAGAATAGAAAATGGTATTTACTCACAATTTATACACTTTTAGATATTTTATATTGAAAATTGTAGATTTTTTTTTAAGTGCTTACCAGGATATTTAGATTCTTAAGCTAAATAAGTTTTCATTGCATTATCCAAATACTTCATATCTTTGTATGTAAAGTGAAATCTACTTGAAAGTCATTACAAAAACCATAAATCTAAACTTTGAGAATGTTCAATACAATATTTGCAATTCATGCTTCACACATATGAGTGTTGGTACCTATACTCTCATGCATTCCCTTTTTTTGTCTCCACAGATGCCTCTATGCACTGCCCACCTTTTACCCTACATAAGTTCTGTGGCTCACCTTGTCTTTCATAGACCCATCCACTGACAAGTCCACTCCCATATATCTGAACACATTCACTTCCTCCATACTCCCTCCTTCCAATCTGATATCCAAACTTTCATTACCTAAATTGTTCACCCTCGTCACCTGACTTTTTCCTGTGTTCACTTTTAATTTCCTTCTTATACATACTTATATTCAAGTAATAAAATAGTTGCACTTTGGAAGTAAGTTGTGTATTCTTGGCAGGTGGTTCAGCAGAAGCTTCACAAGTTGTCTCAGGAGCTGGGACGTATGCAACATGAGTTCCAAGATGCGTCTGCTCAAGGCTCACCTGCTACAGAGATGATGCGCTCGCACATGGAGTCACGCACCACTAGTCTCCTCTCCCTTAAAGCTGCCATATTTGAACCTAACATGGTGGAAAGTTTACTCCAGTTTCTAGCAGCTTCTGCTGAATGGTTGGTACAAATGGCACTTTGCCCTCCAAATCAACTTAGTCCACCAACAGCACTACAGGAAGTTAAAGTACCACTTCCTGAAGATACTGATGTACACATTTTCTTACAATGTATCCCCGAATTCCTAGTTGAGACTCTTACAGAGACAATCAGTTCTGTTCGGAGATATAGTGCACCTCTCTTAAGCTCTACTGGAGGCATCCTGATACTGCCCCACCTCATGTCTTTCATAGTTGTGTTCATGGGCTCTCCTAAACGCATGAACAATCCTCATCTTCGTGCCCATCTCGCTGAATGTTTAGAAACTCTACTTCCAGAGAGCGGTAGTTCAAGTGGAGGACTACTCGCCGGTTGCCGAGAGCATCTATTTACAAAGCATCCTGCATCTCCACAGCTTGTCACTGCTCTTATACATGTGTTTGTCAGCATTGAAATGACAGGCCAGAGTGTTTCCTTTGAGGAGAAGTTTAACTATAGAAGACCTATGTAAGTACAAAGTCTTCTTTTCTTCTTTCAACGTACCAGCCATATATTATCAGTTAATGTATGTACAGTAACCACATGTGAATTGGGGAGAATCTCCCCCCAAAATTCTTTAATACTCCACATGTTTAACACAATATCTGTTTTGCATTAGTAGTTTTGCCAGCCTCTGCTAACTTCAGTAGCATATATGATAAACTGGATTCATACTATTGTAATTTTATGCTGTGTTATGGAGTAAGGTATTTCAACATAGTTTCAATGTCTTTGACTATCCATTGAAATTTTATTAGTTAGGCACTTTCAAATACTTGGGTTCAGTCAATTTTTTCCATCTGGCAACCTAAGGGCTAAACATCTACTGAGCTACTAGTTCTTCCCACTTCAAACATGATGAAGTAAAAAAAAGCTTGATTGTGGACTGAATAATTATGTTATTCTAATTTATTCTAATTTTCTAAGTTACTAAATGCTGTAAAGAGTTTTTATGAGGATAGTGAGGCTCAGGTTAGGGTGTGTAGAAGAGAGGGAGACTGCTTCCCGGTAAAAGTAGGTCTTAGACAGGGATGTGTAATGTCACCATGGTTGTTTAATATATTTATTGATGGGGTTGTAAAAGAAGTAAATGCTAGGGTGTTCAGGAGAGGGGTGGGATTAAATTATGGGGAATCAAATACAAAATGGGAATTGACAGTTATTTTTGCTGATGATACTGTGCTTATGGGAGATTCTACAGAAAAATTGCAAAGGTTAGTGGATGAGTTTGGGAGTGTGTAAAGGTAGAAAGTTGAAAGTGAACATAGAAAAGAGTAAGGTGATGAGGGTATCAAATGATTTAAATAAAGAAAAATTGGATATCAAATTGGGGAGGAGTAGTATGGAAGAAGTGAATGTTTTCAGATACTTGGGAGTTGACGCGTCGGCGGATGGATTTATGAAGGATGAGGTTAATCATAGAATTGATGAGGGGGGAAAAAAGGTGAGTGGTGCATTGAGGTATATGTGGAGTCAAAAAACATTATCTATGGAGGCAAAGAAGGGAATGTATGAAAGTATAGTAGTACCAACGCTTTTATATGGGTGTGAAGCTTGGGTTGTGACTGCAGCAGCTAGGAGGTGGTTGGAGGCAGTGGAGATGTCCTGTTTAAGTGCAATGTGTGGTGTAAATATTATGCAGAAAATTAGGAGTGTGGAAATTAGGAGAAGGTGTGGAGTTAATAAAAGTATTAGTCAGAGGGCTGAAGAGGGGTTGTTGAGGTGGTTTGGTCATTTAGAGAGAATGGATCAAAGTAGAATGACATGGAGAGCATTTAAATCTGTAGGAGAAGGAAGGCGGGGTAGGGGTCATCTTCGAAAAGGTTGGAAGGAAGGGGTAAGGGAGGTTTTGTGGGCGAGGGGCTTGGACTTCCAGCAAGCGTGCATGAGCATGTTAGATAGGAGTGAATGGAGACGAATGGTATTTGGGACCTGATGATCTGTTGGAGTGTGAGCAGGGTAATATTTAGTGAAGGGATTCAGGGAAACCAGTTATTTTTATATAGCCGGACTTGAGTCCTGGAAATGGGAAGTACAATGCCTGCACTCTAAAGGAGGGGTTTTGGGATATTAGCAGTTTGGAGAGATATGTTGTGTATCTTTATACATATATGCTTCTAATCTGTTGTGTTCTGAGCACCTCTGCAGAAACAGTGATTATGTGTGAGTAAGGTGAAAGTGTTGAATGATGATGAAAGTATTTTCTTTTTGGAGATTTTCTTTCTTTTTGGGTCACCCTGCCTCAGTGGGAGACGGCCGACTTGTTAAAAAAAAAAAAAAATTAGATAAGTTTCTAAAATGTTTGTCTATCTTCATGCCTTTTTCCCCCAGCTTGATGCCAGGCTTTCCTGGTCAACTGCTGAATTAGTTACTTTTTTCTTTATAAACTGCACAAATATCAATAGACTTTAAACCTAGCTTACTGGCTATGTATGAACTGCAGATCCACATTGTCACAACCCATTTAATTCAGGCCCATATAACTTTCATTGTTTTATATTAAATTTCTCTATCCAGCAAAAGTAGGCCTTGAACAGGGATGTGTAATGTCACCATGGTTGTTCAACAGATTTATAGATGGGGTTGTAAAAGAAGTAAATGCTAGGGTGTTTGGGAGAGGGGTGGGATTAAATTATGAGGAATCAAATACAAAATGGGAGTTGACAGTCATTTTTTGCTGATATTGTTAGTGGACAAATTTGGAAGGATGTGTAAATGGAGAGAGTTGAAAGTGAACATAGATGAGAGTAAAGTGGTGAGAGTATTCAATGAGTTAGGTAAAAAAAAAACTGGATATCACATTGGAGGGAGTATGGAAGAAGTGAATGTGTTCAGATATTTGGGAGTTGATTCATCAGCAGATGGGTTTATAAAGGATGAGGTTAACCACAGAATTGATGAAGGAAAAATGGGTGGGTGATGCATTGAATGTTATCCATGGAGGCAAAGAAGGGAATGTATCAGTATAGTGGTACCAACACTCATATATGGGTGTGAAACATGGGTTGTAAATGCTGGAGCAAGGAGGATTCTGAAGGTAAAAAGGGTGAGAAATATTATCGAAATACTGTGGTACCATGGTCAACTGCTGATGCTGCTGCTGCTGTAGCACTGTCAGCTGCTGCTGCTGCTGTAGCACCATCAGCTGCTGCTGCTGCTGTAGCACCATCTGCTGCTGCTGTAGCACTGTCAGCTGCTGCTGTAGCACTGTCAGCTGCTGCTGCTGTAGCACTGTCAGCTGCTGCTGCTGTAGCACTGTCAGCTGCTGCTGTAGCACCGTCAGCTGCTGCTGCTGCTGTACCACCGTCAGCTGCTGCTGCTGCTGTAGTACCATCTGCTGCTGCTGTAGTACCATCTGCTGCTGCTGTAGCACTGTCAGCTGCTGCTGTAGCACTGTCAGCTGCTGCTGTAGCACTGTCAGCTGCTGCTGTAGCACAGTCAGCTGCTGCTGCTGTAGCACTGTCAGCTGCTGCTGCTGTAGCACTGTCAGCTGCTGCTGCTGTAGCACTGTCAGCTGCTGCTGCTGTAGCACTGTCAGCTGCTGCTGCTGTAGCACACTGTCAGCACTGCTGCTGCTGCTGTAGCACTGTCAGCTGCTGCTGCTGCTGCTGTAGCACTGTCAGCTGCTGCTGCTGCTGTAGCACTGTCAGCTGCTGCTGCTGCTGTAGCACTGTCAGCTGCTGCTGCTGCTGTAGCACTGTCAGCTGCTGCTGCTGCCTGTAGCACTGTCAGCTGCTGCTGCTGCTGTAGCACTGTCAGCTGCTTGCTGCTGCTGTAGCACTGTCAGCTGCTGCTGCTGCTGTAGCACTGTCAGCTGCTGCTGCTGCTGTAGCACCGTTGTTGGTGTGGCTTATTGAGAATACCAAGAAACAATTAACCCAGAGGGTTAGCCCCCCAGGATAACCCAAAAAAGTCAGTGTCATCGAAGACTGTCTAACTTATTTCCATTGGGGTCCTTAATCTTGTCCCCCAGGATGCAACCCACACCAGTCGACTAACACCCAGGTGAACAGGGAAAAATGCCTGGAACTAGTGCTCATATTGGTGAATTTAAAGCCAGCAAAGGTTGGTTTGAGAGATTTAAGAATCGTAGTGGCATACACAGTGTGATAAGGCATGTTCTGGAAGAAAATGCCAAACAGGACCTACAGTAACTCAGGGGGGAAAAGGCACTCCAGGACACAGTGTCTCATCAGTCATTGCTGCATCTTCAATAAAGGTAAGTGTCATTTATTCTTCATTTAGTAGACTAGTACATGCACAATATACATGTATATTGTGCATGTACTACTCTACTATTGTGCATGTATCCTTCTCTTTGTGTGTAGGAAAATGTATATTTCATGTGGTAATTTTTTTTTTTCATACTTTTGGGTGTCTTGCATGGATTAATTTGATTTCCATTATTTCTTATGGGGAAAATTCATTCGCATAACGATAATTTCGCATAACAATGAGCTCTCAGGAACGGATTAATATCGTTATGCGGGGGTCCACTGTACGTATAAAGATACACAAAGTATCCCTCCAAACTGCTAATATCCCGAACCCCTCCTTTAGAGTGCAGGCATTGTACTTCCCATTTCCAGAACTCAAGTCCGGCTATATAAAAATAACCGGTTTCCCTGAATCCCTTCACTAAATGTTACCCTGCTCACACTCCAACAGATCGTCAGGTCCCAAATACCATTCGTCCCCATTCACTTCCATGCATGCCTGCTGGAAGTCCAAGCCCCTCGCCCACAAAACCTCCCTTACCCCTTCCAACCTTTTCAAGGATGACCCCTACCCTGCCTTCCTTCCCCTACAGATTTATATGCTCTCCATGTCATTCTACTTTGATCCATTCTCTCTAAATGACCAAACCACCTCAACAACCCCTCTTCAGCCCTCTGACTAATACTTTTGTTAACTCCACACCTTCTCCTAATTTCTGCACTCCTAATTTTCTACATAATATTTACACCACACATTGCCCTTAGACAGGACATCTCCACTGCCTCCAACCGTCTCCTTGCTGCTGCATTCACAACCCAAGCTTCACACCCATATAAGAGTGTTGGTACTACTATACTTTTATACATTCCCTTCTTTGCCTCCATAGGTAGCATTTTTTGTCCACATATATCTCAACACACCACTCACCTTTTTGCCCTCATCAGTTCTATGATTAACCTCATCCTTCATAAATCCATCCGCCAACACGTCAACTCCCAAGTACATGTATATCTGAAAACATTCACTTCTTCCATACTCTTCCTCCCCAATTTGATATCCAATTTTTCTTTATCTAAATCATTTGATACCCTCATCACCTTGCTCTTTTCTATGTTCACTTTCAACGTTCTACCTTTACACACATTCTCAAACTCATCCACTAACCTTTGCAAGAATTATTGAGTATACATATGTATGAAACACTGGCTCGTAAGACATATATATATGACCAAAACAGTCAAAGGGTTAAAGAAAGGGTTTGGGATATTGGCTATTTAGTAACATCTAAACTGTCATATCTGGGTGCCTCTGCAAAGACAGTGAATGTGTGTGAATGATGATGAAAGTGTTGAATGATGGTGAAAAAGTTTCTTTTTTGAGTCACTCTGCCTCAGTGTGAGACGGCCAACGTGTTGAAAAAAAAAAATTGTGCTGTTGGTAAAATAATGATTAATTTTAACTTAAGTTTCTATTATACATGCTCAAAGATTGATAGTGCCATTATCATTGTCACATTCTTCCAGGTACGAGGTGATGAAATACTTGTGGGAAATGCCTAAACATCGAAAAAGATTTACAGAATTAGCTGAAGAATCTCTGGCTAACATGGAGTCTGCCAAACCTCCATTATTCCTACGCTTTGTCAACCTCTTGATAAATGATGCCATTTTCTTGTTAGATGAAGGGTTGTCGTATATGTCACAGCTTCGAGAAAGTCAGAAAGAAAGGTAGCTGTCTGTGTGCTCTTGTATTTCTCTAGCAAAACACTGTTTCTAAAAAATTGGGTAACTCCTCCCCTTCCATCACCAATTGTAATGAATGGTTCAGTACTAGCTACTTGAACCCTTAAACTGTCCAAATGTAGATCTACGTTCACTCACGTAGCACTCCGAATATTTTGAAAAATAAAAAATCTTTTTTTTTTTTTTTTCTTTAAATGAAGAGCGCAGTTTTATAAATTATATAGGACAAAAAAAAATTTTAGGGCCAGTACTTACCGAGATATTAGCTCGCAAAGTTGGTGCTAAATGATGAGGTGTCAGTAACGTGGAGTACTGCTGCTTGCAGAAACTATTATCATTTATCATTTTTTCCTACTTCTTTTCTGTTTGTTGTTGTTTTCATGTTATGATAATAATGCTTTGTTGCAGATCTTTTGATTTCATAGCCAATTCTTGTTGAGACACAAATGTTTGGTACTGAATTAGTGATCATACTATCACAGGTAGTAGGTTGGTAGACAGCAACCACCCAGGGAGGTACTACCGTCCTGCCAAGTGAGTGTAAAACGAAATCCTGTAATTGTTTTACATGATGGTAGGATTGCTGGTGTCTTTTGTCTGTCTCATAAATATGCAAGATTACAGGTACGTCTTGCTACTTCTACTTACACTTAGGTCACACTACACATACATGTACACATTTATTTATACACACTCATCTGAGTTTTCTTTGATTTTATTTTAATAGTTCTTGGTCTTATTAATTTTCCTTTTATATCCATGGGGAAGTGGAATAAGAATCTTTCCTCCGTAAGCCATGTGTGTTGTAAAAGTCAACTAAAATGCCGGGAACAATGGGCTAGTAACCCCTTTTCCTGTAAAGATTACTAAAAAGAATAAGAAGAAGAAAATTGTCAAAGTGGGAAGTCTGAATGTGCGTGGATGTTGTGCAGATGATAAGAAAGAGATGATTGTGGATGTTATGAATGAGAAGAAGCTGGATGTCCTGGCTTTAAGTGAAACAAAGCTGAAGGGGGTGGGAGAGTTTCAGTGGAGAGGAATAAATGGGATTAGGTCAGGGGTTTCAAATAGAGTTAGAGCTAAAGAAGGAGTAGCAATAATGTTGAAGGATAAGCTATGGCAGGAAAAGAGGGACTATAAATGTATTAATTCAAGGATTATGTGGAGTAAAATAAAGATTGGATGTGAAAAGTGGGTTATAATAAGCGTATATGCACCTGGAGAAGAGAGAAGTGTAGAGGAGAGAGAGAGATTTTGGGAAATGTTGAGTGAATGCGTGGGGAGTTTTGAATCAAGTGTGAGAGTAATGGTGGTTGGGATTTCAATGCTAAAGTGGGTAAAAATGTTATGGAGGGAGTAGTAGGTAAATTTGGGGTGCCAGGGGTAAATGTAAATGGGGAGCCTTTAATTGAGCTATGTGTAGAAAGAAATTTGGTAATAACTAATACATATTTTATGAAAAAGAGGATAAATAAATATACAAGGTATGATGTAGCACGTAATGAAAGTAGTTTATTAGATTATGTATTGGTGGATAAAAGGTTGATGGGTAGGCTCCAGGATGTACATGTTTATAGAGGGGCAACTGATATATCGGATCATTATTTAGTTGTAGCTACAGTTAGAGTAAGAGGTAGATGGGAAAAGAGGAAGGTGGCAACAACAAGTAAGAGGGAGGTGAAATGTGTATAAACTAAGGGAGGAGGAAGTTCGGGTGAGATATAAGCGACTATTGGCAGAAAGGTGGGCTAGTTCAAAGATGAGTAGTGGGGGGGTTGAAGAGGGTTGGAATAGTTTTAAAAATGCAGTATTAGAATGTGGGGCAGAAGTTTGTGGTTATAGGAGGGTGGGGGCAGGAGGAAAGAGGAGTGATTGGTGGAATTATGAAGTAAAGGGTGTGATAAAGAGAAAAAGGTAGTTATGAGAGGTTTTTACAAAGCAGAAGTGTTATAAGAAGAGCAGAGTATATGGAGAGTAAAAGAAAGGTAAAGAGAGTGGTGAGAGAGTGCAAAAGGAGAGCAGATGATAGAGTGGGAGAGGCACTGTCAAGAAATTTTAATGAAAATAAGAAAAAATTTTGGAGAGACTTAAACAAGTTAAAAAAGCCTAGGGAAAATATGGATTTGTCAGTTAAAAACAGAGTAGGGGAGTTAGTAGATGGGGAGATGGAGGTATTGGGTAGATGGCGAGAATATTTTGAGGAACTTTTAAATGTTAAGGAAGAAACAGAGGCAGTAATTTCATGCACTGGTCAGGGAGGTATACCATCTTTTAGGAGTGAAGAAGAGCAGAATGTAAGTGTGGGGGAGGTACGTGAGGCATTACGTAAAATGAAAGGGGGTAAAGCAGCTGGAACTGATGGGATCATGACAGAAATGTTAAAAGCAGGGGGGGATATAGTGTTGGAGTGGTTGGTACTTTTGTTTAATAAATGTATGAAAGAGGGGAAGGTACCTAGGGATTGGCGGAGAGCATGTATAGTCCCTTTATATAAAGGGAAAGGGGACAAAAGAGACTAAAAATTATAGAGGAATAAGCTTACTGAGTATACCAGGAAAAGTGTACGGTAGGGTTATAATTGAAAGAATTAGAGGTAAGACAGAATGTAGGATTGCGGATGAGCAAGGAGGTTTCAGAGTGGGTAGGGGATGTGTAGATCAGGTGTTTACATTGAAGCATATATGTGAACAGTATTTAGATAAAAATAGGGAAGTTTTTATTGCATTTATGGATTTAGAAAAGGCATATGATAGAGTGGATAGAGGAGCAATGTGGCAGATGTTGCAAGTATATGGAATAGGTGGTAAGTTATTAAATGCTGTAAAGAGTTTTTATGAGGATAGTGAGGCTCAGGTTAGGGTGTGTAGAAGAGAGGGAGACTACTTCCCGGTAAAAGTAGGTCTTAGACAGGGATGTGCAATGTCACCATGGTTGTTTAATATATTTATAGATGGGGTTGTAAAGGAAGTAAATGCTAGGGTGTTTGGGAGAGGGGTGGGATTAAATTATGGGGAATCAAATTCAAAATGGGAATTGACAGTTACTTTTTGCTGATGATACTGTGCTTATGGGAGATTCTAAAGAAAAATTGCAAAGGTTAGTGGATGAGTTTGGGAATGTGTGTAAAGGTAGAAAGTTGAAAGTGAACATAGAAAAGAGTAAGGTGATGAGGGTGTCAAATGATTTAGATAAAGAAAAATTGGGGAGGAGGAGTATGGAAGAAGTGAATGTTTTCAGATACTTGGGAGTTGACGTGTCGGCGGATGGATTTATGAAGGAAGAGGTTAATCGTAGAATTGATGAGGGAAAAAAGGTGAGTGGTGCGTTGAGGTATATGTGGAGTCAAAAAACATTATCTATGGAGGCAAAGAAGGGAATGTATGAAAGTATAGTAGTACCAACACTCTTATATGGGTGTGAAGCTTGGGTGGTAAATGCAGCAGCGAGGAGACGGTTGGAGGCAGTGGAGATGTCCTGTTTAACCCTTTGAGGGTTTTCGTCGTACTAGTACGTCTTACGCGTAGGGGTTTTTGACGTACTAGTACTCGTAAATTCTAGCGACCTCAAATCTAGTGGGAGAAAGCTGGTAGGCCTTCATATGAAAGAATGGGTCTATGTGGTCAGTGTGCACAGTCTAAAAAAAATCCTGCAGCACACGGTGCATAATGAGAAAAAAAAACTTTTCCATTTTTTTTTAATAAATCAGCGACTTTGCAGTGTATTTTCGTATAGTATTTATTGTTGTATTCTAGTTTTCTTGGTCTCATTTTATGAATGGAAGACATATTACTGAAATTGGGATGATTTTGACTGGTTTTACAATGAAAGGTGCCTTGAAATTGAGCTCAAAGTAGCAGAAATGTTCGATTTTTACCAAACTTCAAAAGTAAACAAATCGTGCCAAGCGTGCAATACACGTCAACTGGTGAGTCTAATATTCTTTCACAAGTGCACCAATAATATTTATACATTTTTTTACACTAATGCAGTAGTCTGCTAACAGTAAATCTTATATTTTTTGTGAGAATAAAAATTCAAAGTGGAAAGCAAAAGAATATAGAGGGGCCTTGAGACGTGACTAATGACTAGAGGAAATGTCATTTTAGTGCCAGGAATGTCTTTCTTGTTTATTCTGGACCCTATTCCGAAATTGGCATCTTTTGAAATTTGTGTGAAATTGGCAAAATTGCTAAATTCTGACACTGTATGGATAGTTGAATTTATAAATGGGTGGTTTTCTTGCACCCATTCGATAGAAAAAATGGAGTTCTACCGAAATATTCATGTTTTTTGTCGACTAGTACAGTGAAATTGGCCGAAAATGGGGCTCAAAGTGGGCAAAATCGCCGATCCGTAAACATCGCCGAGACCGCTAACTTTGCGAGAGCATAATTCCGTAAGTTTTCTATCAAATTTCAAAACTTTTGGTGTCGTTATGATCGGGAAAGATTCTCTATCTTTTCATAAGAGAAAAATAATTTTTTTTTTTTTTTAAATTTGGCCGACCCTGAGAACGAGTTTCGGAGAGGGCCTGTCGACCCTCAAAGGGTTAAGGGCAATGTGTGGTGTAAATATTATGCAGAAAATTCGGAGTGTGGAAATTAGGAGAAGGTGTGGAGTTAATAAAAGTATTAGTCAGAGGGCAGAAGAGGGGTTGTTGAAGTGGTTTGGTCATTTAGAGAGAATGGATCAAAGTAGAATGACATGGAAAGCATATAAATCTATAGGGGAAGGAAGGCGGGGTAGGGGTCGTCCTCGAAAGGGTTGGAGAGAGGGGGTAAAGGAGGTTTTGTGGGCAAGGGGCTTGGACTTCCAGCAAGCGTGCGTGAGCGTGTTAGATAGGAGTGAATGGAGACGAATGGTACTTGGGACCTGATGATCTGTTGGAGTGTGAGCAGGGTAATATTTATTGAAGGGATTCAGGGAAACCGGTTATTTTCATATAATCGGACTTGAGTCCTGGAAATGGGAAGTACAATGCCTGCACTTTAAAGGAGGGGTTTGGGATATTGGCAGTTTGGAGGGATATGTTGTGTATCTTTATATGTGTATGCTTCTAGACTGTTGTATTCTGAGCACCTCTGCAAAAACAGTGATAATGTGCGAGTGTGGTGAAAGTGTTGAATGATGATGAAAGTATTTTCTTTTTGGGGATTTTCTTTCTTTTTTTTGGGTCACCCTGCCTCGGTGGGAGACGGCCGACTTGTTGAAAAAAAAAAAAAAAAAAAAAAACTATCACAAACACACATGTTCACACTGATAAATGAATTTGTACACCTGGTTCAATCACATACTATTGTGTACATATATATACATACAAGGTATTTACAGGTCCCATTTATGTTTCTAGAAGTCCACCACTGTATGGTACTCCAAGAAGCATGGATTCATACACAGTGCCACCCCACATTGCTGACATATGAATCGTGTGTCTTTTCACACTTGGGGTCTCTTGTGTAGTGTAAGTACACACAACACACCTTTTCTGAGAGTACTTCTTCTTTGGAGTAGATGGTATTGGTATCAGGCAGAGACAGTTAGGGATTATTCTGTTTGGCACTTTCCCCTCTGGTTGTGGGGTGACAGGTCACTGTGGAGTGGCAGGTATAGGTGTGATGCCATACTTTTTCACTATCTGCTTGATGGCATTGAAGGTGAATTCTGCACATCATTGTCACTTCCCAGTCTCTATTTTGTACATGTTGAAGGCATTGAGTATTGCCATGTCCACAAGGTGGAAAAACACTTTTACAGTGGACCCCCGGTTAACGATATTTTTTCACTCCAGAAGTATGTTCAGGTGCCAGTACTGACCGAATTTGTTCCCATAAGGAATATTGTGAAGTAGATTAGTCCATTTCAGACCCCCAAACATACACGTACAAACGCACTTACATAAATACACTTACATAATTGGTCGCATTCGGAGGTGATCGTTATGCGGGGGTCCACTGTATATACTATTTGCGACTCCTACACACAGTCAACAAACCCTATTATCATGTCACACTTGTCGACTAATCGCACATTGTTTGTATAGTTGACGACAGCAGCTGGCTTTACAAGAGGTTGATTGTTGAGCTTGCTCAATCTGTCTGTCTGAACCATCTCGTTTCTGTGGATGGTCAACAGCAAGTCCCATTTGACATGCCATGTCATTGGCATGAAACCTTGGCTTTTTTTCTACTTTTTCTCACTGTTCCACATATATCAGTATTGTTCACATGTAGGAAATCTGTGAGCATAGGGCTTGTATATCAGTTGTCTGTGAACAATGTATGACCTTTGCCAAGGTATGGCTGCATCATCGTGCGAACGTCACCAGAAATGCCCAACGTGTGCCTGGTATCGTCAAGTGTGTTTTTTCCTGTGTAGATAATGATGTCCAACACAAGACCAGTCTCTCAGTCGCACATAACAAAGAGTTTTATACCAAAGCAAATACGTTTGTTTGGTATATATTGTTTGAATAACAGGCGTCGCTTGAACAGAATCAGGACTCGTCAACAACAATGTTCTTGAATGGATAAAAGTAGGCACTGAATTTTTGCTTCAGATACATAAACAATTCCCTGATTTTGTACAGGAGGTTATTTTGGTTTGGCGTATTCCTGTCTGAGAAGTGCAACATTCGTAGCAACAGAGTGAATCAATTGCAGGGAAGGAGGTCATGGAACACTGGAGTGCTGATGAAGTGGTCTGTGGACTAGTACTCTGCTGTATTGTTCTTATATGTGTGTGGCATAAGCATGACAATGCCAAGGAATAAATACATTTCAGCCACAGTTGTATCTTTCCACCTGTGCAGGCGTGACGATTCTGAAACATCTGTGTTGTCCATTGTATACCGGTAGTACATGTTGGTCTGGGTAACAATCAGGTTCATTATCAGCTCATCAAAGTGTAGTTGAAAATAGTCTAACTCTGTAGACTCATTTGTGATGGGACAGTGTGGCATGATGCCACTTCCATTGGCATCAAAATTGAAAGGATGTGGCATGAATGGTGTACTTTCTGTCCAGTTCCATTCGTGGTCACATGGTTCAAGGTGGACCTGTGGCATGGGGTGTGGGGGAGCAGGAGGAGGGAAAAGAGTGGAGGCAGCACATGGTTGAGAGGGTGGTCCTTTGTCTGCCCACCCACCTCGCCACTAGGTCCAGGCATCATGCCACCCCCCTCTTCCTCCATCCCAGCATATTCACCTTCATGATCACTGTCAGTTGCTGGGGTTTTGGATCGTGACCTGCCACGACCCTTGCCGCTGACTGCGTATGGCACACTTCCTGAAGGTAGGCGCCACCACCTAAAAGTATATTTCACTGGGGAATAATGATAATCACTTTCACTCGATGAATTCTCTATGAGCATAAAATAAATTTCATTATCGTCACTTATATCACTTTCATTATCATCACCATAATGCATGGAAAATGATAATTTCCTCTTGCGGAGTTGCCTTTGGGTAGTAGCACTAGCAACCCCGGAGGTACTGGCCTGAGGGTCTGTTGTGGCCACACTGACCACATTAGCCACACTGGCCATCCCAGAGGTGATGGGCTGAGGGTCATCTGGGTTGTCATCAATAGTTTCACTAATTCCTTCATCATTAGTGGCCAGATCAGTGCCAGATCCACTAAACTCATGTTCTGTTTCAATGTCCATGAATAGTAGTGTGTTAATACAACGAGGCGTGAGTGAATCACGGGGGTTTACCATGATGTTGACCCAAGATGAAGCTGAAACTAACTGGTGCTACCACGTGGTACCCCAGTGTCCCCGATTTTTTTCATACTGCGCACGCTGAGGGCACAGACCCATTCTCTTGTGTCTAGGCGACTCAGGCCTATGACACCAAATTTGAATGAATGAAAAATAAAATGTAGATCTACGTTCGGAGTGCTACTTGGGCAAACGTAGATCTATGTTTGGACAGTTTAAGTGTTAAACATCAGTAATCAGTTGTCTGGAATGATTGTTAATCCAAACATGGCTTGGTTTCAGGTTTATAAACTAAATACAGCATAGCTTATTTTTTTTTCAGTCATTAGCATTTGGTGATTGAAGAAGGTTGTGTTGATCCCTCCATCAACTTCAGAGCCATGTTAATATGTTTACATCCTTTACCTCTTAATAATTAAAACAGAATTTGAATGCAGATTTTGTCATTGCAACTTACTTAACTACAATATACTATTAGTGTGTAATTCTGTATTTAATTGATATTACTGTGATAACGTTCATAATATTGTACTTGTGGAGACACTGTTCTGGTAGATAGATCTTCCAAATTTTTTTATATTTTTCACGTTGATTAACATAAGAATGTTTATAAACTTTGTTCCACAGGGATAGTGGAGAGTGGCTGAATCTGCCTACAACTCAGCGAGCAGAAAGGGAGAGCAGTTTCCAGCACATGTCTCTCTTGGCTCGCTTTCATAACATGCTTGGAGCACACACCATCCAGACACTTATCAGACTCACTAAAGAGGTAATATTAAGAGTATAATTTGTTGCTCAATATTAAGGTACATTGAATACACTTGTTACTTAGCTATTCTCTCCAGAAAAACACAGACATAAATTGATGAAATAGAGTAATTCCAACCCCCAAAACCCAACACACACACAAACTCCAAAGACCACTTTCCTACACTTGCTTTCATCAAATATGCTTACATATGAATGTTGAAGATTTAAACCTCTTCTTCTCAAGACCTCTTTTGTACCTGCTTTCCAGCCCTTTTTCAAAGATTCCATACTCCCACCATCCATCCATCAATGATGTACACACTCCTTTTTTTCCTTCTATCTTGAGTCCTGGGGGTGGGAAGTACAGTGCCTGTGCTCTGAAGGAGGGGTGGAGATGTGTTGCAGTTGTTGAACTGTAGTGTCGGCACATATCTGGTAGGACAGTGATGGAGCGGGTCACCTTGCCTCAGTGGGAAACTGCCAATTTGTTAATAATTAATAAAAAAAATCTTGCTCTTGTTTACTCTGGCCAAATCATCTTGACTAATCTTGCGCTCCCTGCAACATGTCTCTCATATACCTATTGTGTTGTATATACCATATTTTCCAGCAAAATAAGGTCTTGGAAAATTAGCCTTCACTTTATATGGTCAAGGTCAGGGTCAAGGGTAGGCTTTGGGTTACACTTTAGCATAAAGTATAAGGTCACTAGCCCTTGAATATGGTTACTGGTTTACCTTTATGGTACTTATTATGTACACTTTATATGCCAGAAAATATGGTACAGTGGACCCCCGGCTATCAGCCAACTCGGTTATCGGTGGGGTTTTTGGCGCTCGGTTATCGGCCGTTTTGGACGCGTCCATTCACCAGCTGGGGCAGCTTGCGCTTCAGTTTGGCTTTGTCTCTCGGTGGCTGAGGAAGCCTCTGCTCATACATCCAAACATTTTGCTTGTTTACCATTGTTTTTAGTGGTTTTTCTTGAAGTGCAACTGTGAAATAAGTAACCATGGCTCCAAAGAAAGTTCCTAGTAAAGTTCCTGTGGTAAAGAAAGTGAGAAACGCCATGGAATTTAAGCGTGAAATGATAGAAAAGTTTGAGTGGTATGAAGGTGGTGGAACTTGCCAGGATGTACAGCAAGAATAAATCAACAATTACATCCATCCTGGCAAAGAAAGAACAAATCAAAGACGCTAATGTTGCAAAAGGAATAGCTTTTCTAACTAAACAAAGGACACAGATAATGGAAGAGATGGAAAAGTTATTTCTTTCTTTCAACACACCGGCCGTATCCCACCGAGGTGGGGTGGCCCATAAGAAAAAACGAAAGTTTCTCCTTTTACATTTAGTAATATATACAGGAGAAGGGGTTACTAGCCCCTTGCTCCTGGCATTTTAGTCACCTCTTACAACACGCATGGCTTATGGAGGAAGAATTCTGTTCCACTTCCCCATGGAGGTAAAAAGAAATAAACAAGAACAAGAACTAGTAAGAAAATAGAAGAAAACCTAGAGGGGTGTGTATATATATGCTTGTACATGTATGTGTAGTGTGACCTAAGTGTAAGTAGAAGTAGCAAGACGTACCTGAAACCGTGCATGTTTGAGACAGAAAAATGGACACCAGCAACACTACCATCATGTAAAACAATTACAGGGTTTCGTTTTACACTCGCTTGGCAAGACGGTAGTACCTCCCTGGGCGGTTGCTGTCTACCAACCTACTACCTAGGAAAAGTTATTATTATTGTGGATTAAGGAAAAAGAATTAGTGGGAGACATTGTAGTGGAGTCGATCATTTGTGAGAAGGCAAGGCAGTTGCATGAGGATCTTGCAAAGAAAATGCCTGGAACAAGTGCTGCAGTTTGTGAATTTAGGGCCAGCAAAGGATGGTTTGATAGATTTAAGAAGTGTAGTATCATACACAGTGTTGTAAGACATGGTGAGGCTGCTTTTGTAGAGAAACATCACCCTGACAAAGCTGAAACAAGCCATATCTGCAACATGTTTAGTGACAATACCCTGTCCCACTTCAGGGAAATCTTAGAGATGCCAGAAACAGAGCACTCTGGACAGTTATTTTGTGAGACAGGGGTCCAGTGACTCAAGCTGGTTCTAGTGGCATTAAAAGACAGAGAAGGGAAGTAACCCCAGGGAAGGCATTGCTACCTAAAGTCTTCATGGAGGGGGATTCCCCTTCCAAACACTAATTCCTCCCTCTTTCCTCCTCCCTATCTTCCAGAAGCCAGCATTAGCCTTCAATAAAGGTATGTAATACTTACATAATTGTAAAAAAAATCATTTTTTTTTTTTGTGAATATTTTTGTTTGGAACGAATTAATTTTATTTCCATTAATTCTTATGGGAAACATTAATTCAGTTATCGGCTATTTCGGTTGTCGGCCAACCTTCAGAAATGGATTACAGCCGATAACCGGGGGTCCACTGTACTTGTTTATGCTTTGAGTGCTGAGTGACCTATGCCATCATAGTTCTCCATAAATGTTACAACAAATACAGTGGACCCCCGGTTCGCGATACTAATCCGTTCCTGAGAGCTCATCATAAACCAAAAATATCGGAAAGCGAATCAATTTTCCCCATAAGAAATAATGGAAATCAAATTAATCCGTGCAAGACGCCCAAAAGTATAAAAAAAAAAAAAACTTTTACCACATGAAATGTTAAGTTTAATGCAATAGAATAGTAATTACAATAACAATAAATAACGAAAGAATAATTGACACTTGCCTTTAATGAAGATCTGGTGATGATTGATGGGATGGGAGGAGGGGAGAGTGTGGATGGTGTTAGCATTTAGAAGGGGAATCCCCCTCCATTAGGATTTGAGGTAGCAAGTCCTTTTCCGGGGTTACTTCCCTTCTTCTTTTAATGACACTAAGACCAGCTTGAGAGTCACTGGACCTCTGTCGCACAACATAACTGGCAGCCTCACCATGCCTAATCACACTATGTATGCCACTACGATTCTTAAATCTTTCAAACCAACCTTTGCTGGCCTTAAATTCACTCACATCACCACTAGTTGCAGGCAATTTTTTTACCAAATCGTCATGCAACTGCCTAGCCTTTTCACAAATGATAGCTTGAGAGATGCTATCTCCTGCTATCTGTTTTTCATTTATCCACACCAATAACAGTCTCTCAACATTTTCTAACACTTGCGGTCGCTGTTTCGTAATCACAGTTGCACCTTTTGCAAGAACAGCTTCCTTGATTGCCGTTTTCTTGCTCACTATAGTAGAGATGGTTGATTGGGGTTTCCTATACAACCTGACCAGCTCCGACACACGCACTCCACTTTCGTACTTTGCAATTATCTCTTTCTTCATTTCAATGGTCATTAGCACCCTTGGTCTCGAAGGGTTGGCACTGGGAGCTTTCTTGGGGCCCATGGTGACTTATTTTGCAAAAACAGGCACCAAAAGCAGTGATAATATGGAATGTACCGAATGTATCCTTAGATGCGCGCACACTGGCTGGCTTGTAAACACTGGCACACACGGGGCAGTTCAGGCCACACATGGACACGTCTCGTACGAACCACATCGCATACCGGGTTTTGTATCGGGAAGCGAGGCAAATTTTCTGCGATATAATGCATCAGTTACCGGATTTATCGGATACCGATAGCATCGCGAACCGGGGGTCCAGTGTACTACTACTACTGCTGCTACTATTTCTCATCTACTGTATCTGTAACCATAGTCTTTAGCTTTCTTCATTCCTTCTTTCTGCATAATCTTGACATGACATAGATCTGAAACATGACACTTTTACTGCCTCCAGCCATATACATGGACCAAGAGGTGTATATTTCTCGGTAGATATGAAAGTTTGCTTTATGTGAATTTTTTGTGTAGTCTCCCCATTTCTACCAGTAATTTGCTATATACAGTATAAACTCTGTTACATGATCATCCAACCCCAGTACCCTTGATGTTTTAAACACATCTTAAATAAACAGATTTGGTAGTAGAAAATCCAATGAGCACATTTTGAAAGATTTACTATGATTGATTTTAATTTTAAGTGAATGAGAATGTGAATCATTGACAGATAACACACACAATCAAATGCATGCAGAACAAGAGATTTTTATATATGTAGTAGCAAGATAATTGGTGTACAGTATTTGTATACAGTAATATTGAGCATACCATCACCTGTCAGTCTCAGTCCATCTTTTTCTTTTTTTAATGTGCATCTTCTCATAAATTTTGTTGACAGATTCCACAGATGTTTACTCACGCCACCCTCGTTGACCGCATGGCTGCCATGCTCAACTATTTCCTCTCTACACTTGTTGGACCAAAGCAACGCAATCTTAAGGTAAAATATAGCTGTTTTTTTGTACAAGTACGTGATGCCAAGTATCAAAATACCAAAATAGTGACAAACATATGCATGATGACCAGTATTAATGAGGGTAAAACAATATATCAAGATATATTGTTTTACCCTCATTAACCCTTTCAGGGTACCCAGGCCCTCCCCCAGACTTGTTCTCAGGGTCTCCTAAATTTCAAAAAAAATATATATATATATTTTTTTTTTCCTATGGAAAGATAGAGAATCTTTCCCGATCATAATGACACCAAAAATATGAAATTTGATGGAAAACTTACGGAATTATGCTCTCGCGAAATTAGCGGTCTCGACGATGTTTACACATCGGCTTCTTTGCCCACTTTGAGCCCTATTTTCGGCCAATTCCAGTGTACTAGTCGACAAAAATCATAAATATTTACCGATTTCAACTATCCAATACAGTGATCAGAATTTAGCAATTTTGCCAATTTCACACAAATTTCAAAAGATGCCAATTTCCAAATAGGGTCCAGAATAAACAAGAAAGACATTCCTGGTACTAAAATAACATTTCCTCTGTTTATTAGTCATGTCCTCACGCCCCTCTTACATTCTTTTGCTTTCCACTTTGAATTTTTATTCTCACAAAAAATAGAAGATTTACTGTTATGCAGACTACTGCATTAGTGTAGAAATGGTATAAATAATATCGGCGCACTTGTGAAAGAGTATTAGACTCACCAGTTGATGCGTATTGGGAGCTTAGCATGATTTGTTTACTTTTGAACTTTGGTAATAATCGAACATTTCTGCTACTTTGAGCTCAGTTTCAAGGTACTTTTCATTGTAAAACCAGTCAAAATCATCTCAATTTCTGTAATATGTCTTCCATTCTGTAAAATGAGACCAGGAAAACTAGAATACAACAATAAATACCATACGAAAATACAGTGCGAAGTTGCTGTTTTAATCCAAAAACACGGTCAAAGTTTTTTCTTTTCTCATTACGCACTGTGTCCTGCAGGATTTTTTTTTATACTGTGCACACTGAAGACATAGACCCATTCTTTCATATGTAGGCCTACCAGCTTTCTATCACTAGATTTGAGGGCGCTAGAATTTAGGCGTACTAGTACATCAAAAACCCTGGTGCGTAAACAATACTAGTACGTCCGAAACCCTGAAAGGGTTAATACTGGTCTTCATTAAAAAGTGTAGAAAGAAGAAAAATTTGGGTAGGAAATTCAGTGAGTAAATTCTAAAAACAATCATAAATTTTTGGTCTTCCATTTAGGGTTTCATGCCAAGTCAGGACAAAGTGAGAGAGAGAAAAATTACAATTAAATTAAGCTATTCAGAGGAGATCCCAGAGTGTACACACTGTATAACCAAAGTACACAAATTTGTGTGCTTGACTGTACATGAATACTGAAAGGGATTGAAATCTCTACAGTAATCTGAAAAAATTTAATTAATTTAAGAGGATTATTTCTAACAGTTCTGCATCACTGGTTTAATTCTCTAATTCAGGGTCCTGGGTAGCACTAACACAGATTAATAATTAAAGAATTTAAAGCTTGTTCATTGTTTCACAAGTCTAGTTTTTTTTTTTATTGTCTCATACTGAATATGGATTTGAGAGTAGCTAGTGATGGCACAGAAGTCAGGTGATAGGATTCATTATGAATATAGCCTCTCCTCACTTAGTGACGTACTCATTTACCGATGACTCGGATTTACAATGGGCTCTGACCAGTATGCTTACCTAAATAATGTATGTTAGAGCTGATTTTCTCTATTGTTTATTACAATACAACTACACATACCTCTATCCGAAACCCTTGGGGCCAGTAGTGTTTCGAATTTCAGAATGAATATGGGGTCTAAGGCAGCATCCCATTATCAAACGTTAACACTGCAGCAAAAACGTATAAATACCTACACTAAGTGGATAAATAAAGACTACAAATACTACTATGTTTTATTTATAGAGTAATATATTGATAAATGAAATAATGAGATAATTATAGACCAGGACTTTTTCACCTGTGTTCACAATGCCATCATTATCATCACTACTATTCTCATGCTTATTTGTATTTAACACCATTTCTTTACATCATAATCAGTGGTAGTTCCAACACTATATTCTTCAGTAAGATGCCGCACTGACACCACGATCGAGCTTCTGCAGTGACTCTCCTTTCTGTGTTATTGATAATGTCAGATGCTTCCTTTTCTTTTTGTAACTGTTACCCATAGGGGTACCTGCATCTCTTTTTGACATTTTCACAGTGAAATTAAACAGTCACAAAATAAAAATAAAAACAAAATATTAAGCTAACAGCAGACACATGTATGAACACTACAAGCTCTGAGACACAATTGATGCCTGCCACTCAGGCTGTCATTGACACTCCACACTCCAAAAAAAAAAGTTTTTGGAGCTTTTTGGATTTCAGAATTTTGGATAAAGTGTGACTGTATACGTCTTTTAACTTTAAATATACAAAAATGTTGGTTAGCAATGATTAATTATATCCATACAAGGTGTTCTATGCATTTATTAAGCTTCATTGGAAATTACGTACAAGTGGTTTAGATGTGAACTTCTTAATGGGACTGCATCTCTGGTATATCATTCTTCAGTAGATAGAGAAATTGAATTCCGTCCACTAAACATCTAATATGACATATAGCTATCAAGTGCAGATTGTTGCTCATGTTGTAGCTTGATGGAAGGTTCATACATCGATCGCCAACTGTTCCAACCCACGTGTATTGTGAGAATTTGTTGCGTATAGTCGAACCCTTTGAAAGATGTGCCCTTAGCCATGTACATTATATCAACAAGTTTCTATTATTAAGATACATTAAATACGTAATGTGAATGTACATTCATTATTAATTTTCTCATTAGTGCAGGTAATTTACTTCTACTCTTTGCTAGTATGAGTTGTAATGTGACTCATTAATTTAGTTATAATTACCTACATGTAGTCGACTGTATGTAAATTGTTCCCCCAACAGGTCTATCATATGTTACTAAGTAACCTTTAAAATTGTCGACATAGCTGGGTAGGAGAATACACTGTCACTGTTTCACCTCCATAATGTAGTATGTATATTTAATTACCACTAAGTAATTAGATGTTATTAACCATAATTTTACTTCTATTGAATCTTGAATTATTATTACTGTGTTAGCTGTATCCATGGTGGAGGACGGTATTGTAATTTTGACCTCTACATTGCATATGTGGTTGTTTCTTATTTTTACACAGTTTGAAAGGTTACCACGGATCCCTAGCAATTGTATGACAACCTATCTAAGTAAAGTCTGGAACTTCTAATATGTACTGGCAGGCTAAGGAGCTGTTACCTACTATTCTGTATGAATGTCATTTTTATTTTTTTAACATACAAGTAGGATCAGCTTTATTGAATATGCTTATTTACTGTTGAGATTCTAATTTATCTGGAAGCTGACTGTTACTTGAATCTCATTATAAGCATTTTATGATTGTTATGAGTCATACAGGGAAGGATGAATGAGCCATCTGTGGCTCAGCTCTTCCATTTGTACTACTATCTCCTGTAGAATCATCTCTGTCGAATGTGTCATACTCAGTATCTCTGGCGTACTGTATATTCCTGCTCCTGATCTCTTTCTTTGTATTCTCTCTCTCTGTATACTCTCTCTCTCTCTCTGTATCTCTCTCTCTGTATCTCTCCTCTCTTATCCTCTCTCTCTGTATATCTCTCTCTCTCTGTATCTCTCTCTCTCTCTGTATCTCTCTCTCTCTGTATCTCTCCTCTGTATCTCTACTCTCTCTCTCTGTATTCTTCTCTCTTCTCTCTGTATCTCTCTCTCTCTGTATTCTCTCTTCTCTACTTCTTCTGTATCTCTCTCTCTCTCTCGTATCTCTCTCTCTCTCTCTCTCTGTATCCTCTCTCTCTGTATCTCTCTCTCTCTCTCTCTCTGTATCTCTCTCTCTCCTACTGTATCTCCTCTCTCTCTCTCTGTATCTCTCTCTCTCTCTGTATCTCTCTCTCTCTCTCTCTGCTTACTCTTCTCTCCTACTCTCTCTGTATCTCTCTCTCTCTCTCTGTATCTCTCTCTCTCTCTCTGTATCTCTCTCTCTCTCTTGTATTCTCTCTCTCTCTGTATCTCTCTCTCTCTGTATATCTCTCTCTCTCTGTATCTCTCTCTCTCTGTATCTCTCTCTCCTCTGTATCTCTCTCTGTATCTCTCTCTGTATCTCTCTCTCTGTATCTCTCTCTCTCTCTCTCTGTATCTCTCTCTCTCTCTGTATCTCTCTCTCTCTGTATCTCTCTCTCTCTCTCTCTCTGTCTCTCTCTCTCTCTCTGTATCTCTCTCTCTCTGTATCTCTCTCTCTACTCTCTTTCTCTGTATCTCTCTCTGTATATCTCTCTCTGTATCTCTCTCTCTCTCTCTTATCTCTCTCTCTCTCTCTGTATCTCTCTCTCTCTCCTCTGTATCTCTCTCTCTCTCTTGTATCTCTCTCTCTCTCTCTCTCTGTATCTCTCTCTCTCTCTCTCTCTCTGTATCTCTCTCTCTCTCTCTCTCTCTGTATCTCTCTCTCTCTCTCTCTGTATCTCTCTCTCTCTCTCTCTCTCTCTCTCTGTGTATCTCTCTCTCTCTCTGTATCTCTCTCTCTCTGTATCTCTCTCTCTGTATCTCTCTCTCTGTATCTCTCTCTCTCTCTCTGTATCTCTCTCTCTCTCTCTCTCTGTATCTCTCTCTCTCTCTCTGTATCTCTCTCTCTCTCTCTCTCTGTATCTCTCTCTCTCTCTCTGTATCTCTCTCTCTCTCTCTGTATCTCTCTCTCTCTCTGTATCTCTCTCTCTCTCTGTATCTCTCTCTCTCTCTCTCTCTGTATCTCTCTCTCTCTCTCTCTGTATCTCTCGTCTCTCTGTATATCTCTCTCTCTCTGTATCTCTCTCTCTCTGTATCTCTCTCTCTCTGTATCTCTCTCTCTCTGTATCTTCTCTCTCTCTCTTCTCTCTGTATCTCTCTCTCTCTCTCTCTGTATCTCTCTCTCTCTGTATCTCTCTCTCTCTCTCTCTGTATCTCTCTCTCTCTCTGTATCTCTC